AATTGAGGTAAGTTGGAGCAGAGCTGGGCAATTTTGGTGAACTGGTAAACTTTTATAGACTTGGAGGTTGTATTCTGGGATTTATCTTAGGTCTGTCTAACTGACTTGAATTAAACTTTGGTACCCAAGAAGTTGGCACAGAAAAAATAACTAGCAAAGCTAGTGAAGGTCATTAATTTCTCAAGTGTAACCTATCGACACTGAGTACATCTGTTCCTTGATAGGCTGTTCTCCCAGCATATCAATATATCCCTGCACAGAGAGCCTCTGTCCATGTGGTATGGAAATGGCAGTGTTCCTGTCTTCTTGTCTCATTAGCTAACTGGAGTCAGGCACTCAAACTTGAAAGTAATTTCTTTTCAGTTTTAGGTAAGTATTTATAAAACTGGTTTTTTAGACAACTGGTAATAGGATAGTTAGGTAAACTATTCATATAGTTGAGGAGCCAATAGTTATTTTTCAAAGGTCCTTGGAAAGCATTATGTAGTTGATTCATTGTTTTTTGACATCCTTAGCAATTCTGTTGTTATGGGATTAAAAAATAATTTGAAGACTACTCATTGCAGGGCCTTTGAGTTCTGTTAATGTCAGGGAAAGGACATCAAGAGAACTAAAAAAAAACAACCAAAGAAACCTGACTCATAAATTAGAGATGACAGAGGTCTGGAACTCTTTTTAGCTTGATGAACTAAAGCTAAAATATAAAGAATAATATACTGTCTTTCATAGATGAATATGTCATTAATGATCAACCATCTGTAATATGCTTTTTGTTGATTTTCTCAATAGAGTTAGAAAACAAAGAATGGGAATGTTTAGTAGGTTATTCAAATCAATAGTGCCTGTAATAACTTGAGAATTTGAGTGGGTTGCAAGTTCAGGTTGGATAGGCAAGACTATATAGGTCTACGAAAAAGCTAAATTGATCTAAGATTGTGTTATAGAATATTATTTAACAGTTTTCGGAGTGTGGTCCCTGGAACAGCAGTGTCAGCTTCACCAAATAACTTGTTAAAAAGTTGCAAAATCTTGGGCCCCATCCCAGACATGCTGAATCAGAAACTGGAGCTTTTGTCCTAGGAATCTGTTTCAATAAGTCCTCCAGGGAATTCTGATGTATGCTAAAGTTTAATAACTACTGATCTAGAACAGTATCCTCTTCTACTCAATGCTGGTCAGAGCATTCCTGGATCAAATATTCTGCTTTTATTTTATATTCTATAAAAGATGCTGATAACTTGGAGTGCTTCTAAAAGAAAATGCTACTGTATAGGAAGGACTAGGAACTTGGGGCGCCTGTGTGGCTGTCGGTTAAGAGTCTGACTCTTGGTTTCAGCTCAGGTCGTGATCTCAGGATGGTGAGGTCAAGCCCTGTGTTGGGCTCCATGCTGGGTGTGGAGCCTGCTTAAGATTCTTTCTCTCCCTCACCCTCTGCCCCTCCTCCCCCGAGTATGCTCTCTCTCTCTCTCTCCCTCTCTCAAAAGAAAAAAAGAGAGAAAGAACTAGAAGCTGAATCTTATGGAGATATTTGAAAAAAAATTTGGTATATCTAGCCTAAAGAAAAGATAACTTAGAGGCTTAAGACATATAATTGTTTCCTTCAGTTAGCCAAAGGGCTATCCTAGCTCTTGAAGGTAGAACAAAAGGCAGAAAAACCTTCTGGCAAAAGTGTTATATGTTGTCTCTCATTTAGTGAGCTTCGCTTCTTTGGAGGTATTTGTGTGAAGTTCTAGACACCCTCAGTGGTAATGCTGTAGTAGTCATTCTTGTTGTGGGTCTAGGCAGATGGCCACTGAGGTCTTCTCTAGACTAAAGGAGTATGTATCCATGACTTGCACCAAATCACCTTACTCTCAGTCGGCTTCTGGTCTTTACCTAAGCAGTCTTCTCATATTTAAGTGATGGATGAAACCCTTTTATCTGAAAATGTTCTTATTTTACCCCAGTTCGTCTCTAACTAGTGTTAGAATTCTAAATTAAGCCTTATTTTCCTTCTGCCTTGTGGAGGTATTATTTCCTTATCCTCCAGCCTCTTCCTGTTGCTGTCAGCCGGATTTCATTGTTCCTTTGTAGGAAACTTTCTTTTCTTTCTTATCACTTTTTTTTAAAAAAGATCTTATTAATTAATTAATTAATTAATTTAGAGCATGAGTGGGAGGAGGGGCAGATAGAGAGGGAAAGAGAGACTCCTAAGCAGGCTCCACCCTCAGCGCTTAGCCCCAGGTGGGGCTTGATCTCAGGACCCTGAGATCATGACTGAGCCAAAATCAAGAGTCAGACACTCAACCGACTGAGCCATACAGGGTGCCCCAAGATTTTTATCTTTTTATGTCTCTGTCTCATATTCTATGTAATTCATCATATTTGTCTGGTAGTCCAATCTATTGTTTAGATAATATGTTGAATTTTACATTTTAGTGTATATTTTTCTAAAAGTCCTATTTGGTTCTTTTTGATATCTGTCTGTTCATAATGTTCTGTTATTCTGTAATTATTTGAATTCCTTTTATCTTGTTTGTCATCTTAAATATCTTAAATATATCTTTTATTTTAACTTTCAAAAGTTCTTTTGTCTCAAGTCTCTATGCTTTTTATTCTTTTTGTTGATCTTTAGACTCTACCTCATGAAAAGTCAGTTCTTTTTTTTAAAGATTTTATTTATTTGAGAGAGAGAGAGCAAGAGAGTGAGAGAGAGAGTATGAGCAGGGTGAGGGACAGAGGGAGAAGCAGATATCCCAATGAGCAGGGAGCCCGATGTGGGGCTCAATCCTGGGACTCCAGGATCATGACCTGAGCTGAAAGCAGATGCTTAACCAACTGAGCCACCCAAGTGCCCCGAAAATCAGTTCTTCATGTGGTATTAAATTTTTGATTATGAACTTATCTTTGGCAAGAATTGTTTTTCTGTGGGAATGTATATTTCCTAGATTAATGAAAGTGTCCCTATTGAGCTCTTTTACCTTTGTTTTTCCTGGTTGTGTCAGGAATTTCAGTGATCCAGGACTGTATTTTTTTGTTCATATTTCAGCTTAGAGATTCCTGTACTACATGAGTATTGTATATTCTGACAGCACATCAACATTTGGATTTTAATTTCTCATGGGAGACTATTTTTTTCCCAACAGCAAGTGCTTATTTATTTATTTATTTATAGCTTCCATTTCACTTTAATCTGGTCTCTTCTCACTGACAGTATAGCCTTTCAAGGTCTCAGAAGTATGCAGTGTCATGGACTTAATGTTTGTATCCCCCTAAAATTCATATATTGAAATCTAAATCTTAGCACTCTTTTTTTTTTAAGATTTTATTTTATTTGCGAGAGTGAGAGAGCGAGAGTGGGGAGGAGGGGCAGAGGGAAAGGGAAAAGCAGGCTCCCCACTGAGCGGGGAGCCCGACACGGGGCTCGATCCCAGGACGCTGGGACCATGACTGGAGCCGAAGGCAGATGCTCAACTGACTGAGTCACCCAGATGCCCCATAAATCTTAGTGCTCTTATAAGAAGAGGCCAGAAAGCCAGCTTGTTTTCTTCTCACCAAGTGAGGATACAGTAAGAGGTTGGCAGTCTACAGCAACTCAAACGATGGCTTTCAGCAGAATCCAGTCATGTTTGCACCCTGATCTTGGACTTCTGGTCTCCAGAACTATGAGAAATAAGTTTCCGATGTTTATAAGCCATCCAGTCTGTGGTACTTTATTGTAGCAGCAGGTACTTTGTTGTTTTAGCAGCTAAGATGGCAGGAGTCTAGTTTATATCTCCATTCTTCTGTGGAACCTGAGGTCTATCCCTGTATTGATATTAAAATCCAGTATGTAGCTGTTAGGTAATTCTGGCCTCTTGTTCTTCTGAGATCTGAGCAGAATCAGCTCCAGAGCACATTCCTCTGGTTTTTAGTTAGTTAGTTTTTGTTTTGTTTTCTTTTTGCCCTAGTACCTAGATATTTCCTATTCTTTCAAACTCAATTCTTTAACTAAAAAATACTATGATATTGAATTAATAATTTCTATGTTTTGTGTCAGCTCAGTCTGTCATATTGTCAGTGTAAAAATTTCTTGATCTCAAATTCTCCCATTTTTTTTGATAGTGTTACTTATAGGTGTGTAAGCAGAAAGTAGCTATGAATACCTTATCCATACAATTCTCATACAACTATAAACCTAAAACAAATTCATAACTTAAATCTAAAAATTTATAATGAATAAACAACATTAACTTAATAAGATCAGTTTTGTGGTTTTGCTAAAGCTAACTTGCTGTATCCAACACGAATAGTATCTAGTATCAATGCAGAATTTTCAAAGTTACATGTATGATTTTTCAATTTTCTACCAATTTTGTCTAGTTAACTTATCATGAAACTTTTTCATACTATGTGGCAAACTATTTTGATTTTCACCTGATACAATTGCATAAAGGTCCATGTCTGCCCTTTTGCTCAGTGGCAAAAATATCCCATTACTTGATACTGTTCTCATTGTAAACACAAATGCAAGGGCAAACACTAAAATTACATAATGGTTTTCAGCTATAAAAACAAGCATTCAGATAAAACAAACCACAATTAATTTATGTTTTTAGACAATCACAAAAATGTGGAAAATGACCCATCAAGAACCATAGAACCTGTCTCTGTAAACCAGTTTGGGGAACTCTGATCTGTGACATATACTTGTGACCCAGCTGCTTGAATTAAGAAGAGTTGTCTCTGGGAATGATATCAAGAAAATGGTGGAGTAGGCAGCTCCAAACTCTCATCCCTCCACAAAAACATTGACCAAATGAATGCTGAGTCAAGAAAAAGGCAGTCTGATAACAGTAGGAAATCTGTGTGGTGTTTTTACTTGCCTTCTACCCACTTTCCCACCAGCATGTTGGTAGTTTTGAAGCAGTAACAGCCCATGTTCATGAATGTGGGTCCCTGTTTACTGACTGCAGAAGGATCAGAGCGTATCTTTTATGCAAATTATTATGTATATTTCTTCTAACCTGTCTAAGTCCTACCTCATGCTCAAATTATTCCACTTTTCTCAGCAGGAACTTTGGAGAACAGAAGGCAGTAGGTTTGTATGTTCAAAGTGCTGAAAGAAAAAAAAAGCCTGTCAACCCAAAATTCCATATTTGACAAAACTGTCCTTTAAAAATGATGTAGAAATAAACGAAAGCTGAAGTAGTTCATTCCTACAAGAAATGCTAAAGGGATTCCTTTAGGTTAAATGAAAGGGCACCAGACAGTAACTTGAAGCTATATGAAGAAATAAAGATTTCCAGTAAAGGTAAATATATATAAGAATCAGTATTTGGGAGGGAGGGGGCTTTTTATCTCTACTTTGCATTCCTACTGGATTTAAAAGACAAATTTAAAGAATTTAAATTTTATTAAATTTAATAAATTTATAAATATTAATTTATTAAATAAATTAATTTATTTAAATTTTAATTTAAATGAATTAAATTAAAAAAAGAATTACAAATGTATCTTATTGGGTACACAATATGTATTAAATGTATAGAAATGTTATAATTTATGGCAACTACAGATAACCTAGATGAAAAGGACAAATTTCTAGAAACACACATTATCTAAACTGGCTCCAGAAGAAAGAGAAAATTGTAATAGACTATATAATAAGTAAAGAGATTAAATCCGTAATCAAAAACCTCCTAGTGAAGTCTAGGACCAGATGGCTTCACTGGAGAATACTGCCAAACATTTAAAAGGAATTAATACCAATCCTCCATAAACTCTGCTGAAAAATAGAAGAGCAGGGAACACTTCCTAACTCATTCCATGAGACCAACATTAACCCTGATACCAAAGCCAAATAAAGACATCACAAGAAGAGAAAGTTACAGACTAATACTCTGCATAAATATAAAAGGACAAACCCTCAGTAAAATACTAGCAAAGTGAACCCAGTAATATTGAAGGTATTGTACACCCTGACCAACTGGGATCTTACCTGGGAATGCAATACTGGTCCATAAGGGAAGCAGTCGGGTAATACACTACATTAATGAGTGAAGGAAGAACACTACATTATCATTTCAACTCTTACAGAAAAGTGATCTTAAAAAAATACAACACTCTTTTGTGGTAAAAACACTCAGACAACTAGGAATAGAAAGGAATATTTTCTTGTTTCCTTTAATTATGTGTATTTGCACTATAATATTTCTAGATGTGGGACTCTTCTTATTTATTTTATTGGACATTCATAGAGCTTCTTGGATTTGGGGCTTAATGTCCTTCATTGGTTTTGAAAAATTCCCAGCCAGGTTCTCATCAACTTTTTTTTCTGTCCAATTCTTTCTTTTTTCACTTTCTTCCTAGGACTTTAGTTACATTAGCTCTATTAAAAATATATTAGATTTTTTACCGTGTTTCATACGTTTCTTATAACATTTTCTGTTCTATACATCTGATTTTCTTTCTTGGAGCCTGAATATTTGGTTGAACCCATCTTCTAGTAAATTAATCCTTCTGCTGTATCTAATATGTCATTAAAAACATCTTTTGAGTTCTCAGTTTCAGGAATTGTGTTTTTTAGTTTAGAATTTTTATCAGTTTTCTTTTTTCTTCTTTTTTTAAAGATTTTATTTATTTATTTGACAGAGAGAGACACAGCAAGAGAGGGAACACAAGCAGGGGGAGTGGGAGAGGGAGAAGCAGGCTTCCCTCCGAGCAGGGAGCCTGATGTGGGGCTCTATCCCAGGACCCTGGGATCATGACCTGAGCCGAAGGCAGACGCTTAATGACTGAGCCACCCAGGTGCCCCTTTTATCAGTTTTCTGTTGATAGGTCTCTGGTCTAAAATTATCTATCTCGTTACCAGTTTTTTAAACATTATTTCATATTGATAATTATAATATATTAATTACCCAAGGGTTTTTGTTTTCTGTTTTTATCTTGTTTTGCCCCACCTCCTCTCATGATATATTTCTGTCATTTGATACTTCTGATAATTTTTTAAAGTTCTGGACCAATATTCTCGCTGCAAAGTAGGCTACCCTTAAGGCTTTATAAACTTTAGTATGTTTCTTGTTTACACGTAATCATAAGGTCTAGTCCTGCTGGAATCTCAGCTTGAATCTTGGGCTGTTTGCCAGGACCCTTCCTCCTTGGTGGACCTTGATCTCCAAACTTCTGCCTAGCCCCGTGAGACTGCTTAAATTCTGCTTGGCTTTCTCACCTCTTGGCAGGTCTTCCTGATTGTTGTTTCTGTTTCATGCCCCCTTTACAGTTTAGGATTAAGTAAAAGCAAACAATATAAAGAATGTCAATCTCATTTCTCTGCCCTACACTTTGCTCCAACATCATCTTATTCCCTAATTTTGACTGTCTTTGTTTGGGGGGAGCCTGGCGTAAGAGTGCTGAATCCATTATTGTTTGACTCCACATGATTGAGCAGCTCCAGTTTTCTTCTCAGCCTCCATGCCCCCGTGTTGGGAATAAGCAAATTCCCCAAGGGGAAGAAACACTGGAGAAATTCCAGGTCACCTCAGTGTTTAACTTTTCTCTTTTGTTTCCGTAAATCTTTGTGTCTTCCATTGCTCTCTGGTGCCTTCAAACAGCTGTTTTTATTTTGTTTTGTTTGTGTTATTTCATCAAGTTTTACAGTGGGTCTTGATGGCAAGATTTGTTTTATATCAGCTGTATTGTCATTGGAAGGCTCCTAAGTCTCTTTTTATTTGTAGATACTCTTCATTTTTTTTAATGCTTTGTTAGTTATTTGTTAAGGAAAATTAGCTACTTATTTTATAAGATTTCCCGTGGTACATCCCTGTGATATCACTAAACATGTTCTTCTGTGCTATTTTCATTAAGTTGGTGGTTAAATATAGATGTAATTTTGATAAAAATATTTTATAAATATTTATGTATATTTCTAATTGCGTTGAGTTGGGAGGCACATCATGTCTAGTTTTCTCCATTTTTGTGATGTTAAGAATTAATCCATGTGTTCATTTTAATTTTAATTTGCATTTGTGTCAAACGGTAAATAAATGTATGTTTTTAACTTTGTAAGAAAGTGCCAAATGGTCTTTAATGGTAGCTATACCATTTTATGTTTCTAAAACCAATGTATGAAAGTTCCAGTTGCTCAAAATTCTTGTCAACATTTGGTATTGTCATCCTTTTTGTTAATTTTAGTCACTCTAAAGGTCACTCTAATGGGTAGATACTGGCATTTTTTGTTGTTTTATCATTTCCCCAGTACCTCCTGCTAGTGAGCCCTTTCATATGCTCATTGGCTGTTCATAGATCTTCTTTTATCAAGTGCCTAATCAAATCTTTTCCCCATATTTTACACTGGGCTATTTTTCTTATTAAGTTGGAAGAGTATTTTATATATTCTGGATACCAGTTCTATTTCAGTTTCTGTATTCAGTTCTATATATATCCCAAATCCTTAGCTTTTCATTGTGTCCTGCCTAAGAAATCCTGTACTCTGAGTTTTAAAAACTTTTCTTCTGTATTTTTTCTAGAAGATTTGAAACTATAACTTTTTCTGTTTGGGTATATGATCCATTTAGGTATTTTCTTCTATATATCAGAATGATGAAACAGTTGAGGTTTATGTTTAGGCATATGGCTACCCATTTGTTCAAGCACCGGTGCTGCAAAGTTCTTTAAGATTTCATTGGACATTATCCCATTTACTGATTAGAAGACATTTCCTGACCACAACACACAAAGTTCAACATACGTGTCTTTTAAAATCTATGATACTACATTATTATTCAGGCCTCACTTACCATGATAATTTTTTTCTGGTTGATCTGTCAAAGTCTCAAGTGTATTCTGTCAAGATCTCTTACTGTCATTGTGCTGCCTGTGGTTTTTGGTACTTTCCCTGTTCTACAGTTTTTTTTAATGCATTCTCATGCAATATTATGTGTCGTGTTAGGGCTTGTGGCAGTGAGATCTTTATTTTAGAATGCTGATAGGAAATGACCATTTGGTTTAATAACATTTGCCTTGAATTTGAACTTATGTCTTATAAATATGTTACTACCTCTTCTTTTACATTTGCTGTTTCTTTATATGCCTTTACCCATTATTCTCTCAGTTTCATCCATTTTTTTAATCTCATCTTTGTCTTTTAATAAGATAATTTATTTATTTTGGAGAAAAATGAGTTTCATACTTTTAATAAGATAATTTAAATGATACACAACTATTGAGCTGTTTATTTGGTTATAAGTGTGTAGTTTTGTTCTTTCTCTTTTTTAAAGTTCCTTTTGTTTCTTTCATTTTGGTGCATATGCCATATTTTTTAGCCTTGCACATCCCCAGGGCTTTGAAGAATGTAAGTCCTTTCTTTTTTTTTTTTTCAAAATATTCTTCAACTTTATAATTCTCTTAGTGTTAGAATTAGTGTGAAAAATTTTATTTGTGACTTTTTAATCTAAGTGGTTTATCAACACATTTTCATTATCCCCTTTTTCCTCTCCTATATTTTTAGTATTTCCCAGTGTTTTAGATTGAGTATTACTATTATTATTACAGTGTTATTTTCTATATTATGTCTTTTTCCAACAGTGAATACTGAAATTTACACTCACTTTTAAGACAACTGTTAAATTTATCTCACTTTCAGTTAGTTTGCTTTAGACTATGGCTTTCACAATGCATACCTTTAAGTAAAGATATTTGTTTCATATTTTGTGAGGCCTGTACATTTCATGTTGTTTTCTTCTCACCTTTTAGCTTGATCAAAATAATTTTTATGTCACTTTTTTGACCTTTGATACTCTGTACTTGTTCCACTGTCATCTACCTTTTAGTGTTGCAGTAGAGAAATCTGATTTTGGTTAACAACCTAATTTTCTACCTGAATGCTTGTATTTTTCTGTAAATATTTTTCTGATACATTGATTGTTGTTTTTTTTTTTTAAGATTTTATTTATTTATCTTAGGGTGGGGAGACAGAGGGAGAGGGAGAAAGAGTCTTAAGCAGACTCCGCACTGAGCACAGAGCCTGATGTGGGGCTCGATCTCATGACCCTGAGATCATGATGTGAGCTGAAACCAAGAGTCACACACTTAACCAACTGTGTCACCCAGGTGCCCCTATATTGATTATTCTTAATGTTTCATTTTTTTCTTGGCTCCCCTTTACAAACATCATTTGACCTGATGCTAACTTTATCTTCTGTGTTCAAATTGATCATCTTTTCTATTATCATTTTTAGCTTCATACCAAGTTCTGGGAGAATGTCTCATGTTTGTTTTCCACATAGCTAGGTTAATTTTCCATAGCGTAAAGCCTGCACTTATTCCCTGTCATATGGAACTCAATTTAGTTACTATGCTTTTGGTATTCTTATAACACTTTTATCTTATCCATCTCTCTTTATATTTCCTGTTGACTTTTGGATTTATCATGTTATTTCACCTCACACTATTTTCTCCTATCGCTTTATGCTCCTTTTTTATTGGAAATGATTTATTTTATCTTTTAGATGATAATACCAATGAACTTCTTGGAAGTTTCCTTTTTATCCTCTAATATATGATTTTCTGAGACTTGAGAATTCTGTGAGTCTTTTATTTTATAAGATTTTTTTTAAAGATTTTATTTATTTATTTGAGAGAGAGAGAAGGAGAGATAGAGAGCACGAGAGGGAAGAGGGTCAGAGGGAGAAGCAGACTCCCTGCTGAGCAGGGAGCCCGATGCGGGACTCGATCCCGGGACTCCAGGATCATGACCTGAGCCGAAGGCAGTCGCTTAACCAACTGAGCCACCCAGGCACCCTCTGTGAGTCTTTTAGATGCTGTATTAGGATTCTCTAGAGAAACAGAACCAATAAGGTGTGTGTGTGTGTGTGTGTGTGTGTGTGTGTATAAAAGGTTTATTGTGTGTGTAAAAGGTTTATTACTGGAATTGGCCTCTGTGATTTTGGCTCCTGAGGAGTCCTAAGATCTGCAGTTCTTAAGCTGGAGACCCAGGAAGTTTGTGTAAGTTCTGGAGTGAAAGCCTGGAGGCTCAAGACCTAGTAAGAGCTATTCAAGTCTAAAGGCTGGAAAAGACTGATGTTCCAGCTCAAGGCAGTTAGGCAGGAGTTCCTTCTTACTCACGGGAAGATATGCCTTTTTGTTCTGTTCAGGCCTTCAACTAGTTGGATGAGGCCCACCCACATTAGGGAGGGGAATCTGCTTTACTCAGTCTATTGATTTAAATGGTAAGCTCATCTAAAAATACTCTCCCAAACATACCCAGTTTAATGTTCGACCGTATATTTGAGCACCTTGTGACCCAGTCAAGTTGATGCATAAAATTAACCTCCACAGATTGCTATAACCCCCCCTTTTTTTTCATTTTGTAGCATTTTTACTTGGGCTATGTGCTAGTATTTTATTCTCCTACTTGACCTCAGATATAGTTCTTTGCACATTGTATCCTTGTCAAAAAACAGAGTGGACAGCTTTTCGTCCTTTTCTCTGCCCCATTTAATGGCAGTCTCATTCCTTTCCCAAACTATTTGTGTGCATAATGATATGCACGCACATCTCTCCTCTGATTTCCTGATTCTACTGGCTTTTAAGTTATCAGTTATTACAGCTAATCAGCTTCAGTGGCTTTCATGCCTAAGAGTGTATTTTCTCACATAATAACAATTCCAGTAATCATAATCACATAGAGGCTCAGGAATGTCACGACTAAGGCGTTTATAACCTCTTGACCTTTTCCTCAAGGTTTCAAGGTAGCTGGAGAAATTTAGCCATTATGTCCCTAGACAGCAGAAAGGAGGGAGCAGGCAAAAGGGTTTCTGAAGACATTTCTGCTTTCAAATCATTTGCCTTTCATTCTGACAGGAGACTGAGAAACATAATTATTCTGTTTGTATTGCCAAGGATTATTTTGTTAACGTAGAAGGGAGCAGGGATAACAAATAGGCAACTAACATAGTCTGCACGTATTTTTTGAGTGGAGGTCGTGTCTTCCTATGACCATTGTCAACTTCTCTAAAAACTTTCTAAACTTGTGGAGTACCATGTAAACGGTCAATTTCTTTTTTTTTTTTTAAATATTTTATTTATTTATTTGACAGAGAGAGCATAAGCAGGGGGAGAGGCAGAGGGAGAAGCAGACCCCCCACTGAGCAGCGAGCCCAATGTGGGGCTCAATCCCAGGACCCTGGGATCATGACCTGAGCCAAAGGCAGACACTTAACCAACTGAGCCATCCGGGACCCCCGTAAATGGTCAATTTCTAGCATGTCCTGTTACAGAGATTCTTCAGTTCTTGTTCTTACTGTGCTGACAGGACTGTGCCTCTAAGATTCCATTATATTTCAACAGTTTTCCTTTAACTACAACTTTATGCCATCTCTTCAAGATATACAGCTTCTGCTTAAATTTAAGAAAGAAACTGGGTGGCTGGGGGTAGTTGAGGGACACCTGAGGAATAGGGGGAACCACATTTTTAATGGCCAGGAGTACCAAGTATAGAGAACAGCTGCCTAGCTCTGTATTAGGTAATGCTCAGGGTCTCTGAGATGAAGGGATAGATGGTAGAAGACTTTTCAAGAGTGTTTGATGCACCATATTATAAATTCTAGGAACATTTTTCTTAATTCAGCTTCTACCTCCTTCTTAGGATAACTTCATCCCTATTTTTTTCAATCTTGGTTTTAGCATTATTGTGGCTTTTCATCTTTTTCTGGCTCTTTTCTATTAGGAGTGTTTGTAAAAAGCTATTCTGAAGGGCTGTTAGCCAGGCGATCTTTATTCAGTGGGTATTTATTTTAATAGCCATTTGGTTTCATTACCTTTTAATGAGTTCTTTGATAGCAAGTTCCTTAATTAACAAGGCAGTCTTTCAGGTTTCCTCTTTTCTAATTGTTAACATATTTTGGTGCTTTCACACAGATACACTATGATGAAAAGTTTCCTCTTTACAGCTCCTGTAGGGCCATTCAGAAGGGAAAAAGATGGGGATGGGGAGAATATGCAGTGTGTTTCCTTAGAATATAAATGGTTTAAGAGCATTTGTTCTCCCAAAATGAGACTGAGTGAAATATTCATATTTCATCCTTGATTTCCTATGACAGGAGTAACTCAGAGTGGATTTCTACATGTATGAAAGTTGATTGAATCTAGCTCACATTAGAACTTGTATGTTGAATTTTTCTGTAACCGCCTCTCAGAAAATGTGGAATATTTAATTCTGCCTGGGACCCAAATAAATTTTCATTTAAAAATTTCCTTAAGCTATCTGCAATACTCCTCCCAAAGATAAGAACATTTTATAATAAACCACCTACCACTCATTGAGGCCCTCATATGTGCCAGATAACTGTACTGGTCTCTACATTCTGTTATCCCATTTATTGCATAAATTTCTGCGAGGTTGGTGTCATTATTGCCACTTTACCAATGAACAAGCTAAGTCTAACCAAGATTAAATAACTTTCCTAGAGGTCACATAAGTGATAGGGCTGGGATTTGAACCTAAATTAATATGAACCAAAGTCCTTGCTCTTTCTCTGTAGTATCACTTCCACTCTAGTCTTGTCTTGTTTTCACTACCACGTACCATAAAATGGACATGGTGGCTCAGGCACTGTTCTCCCATAGTAAGATTAATTAGAGAGCTAATGAAATTTTTGTAAAGAAGATCTTAAATGATTTCCCTCAGAGAAACCTAAGGTTTTAAATATTCTGAAATGAAGTATTTGTATTGGCAGAAAATAATGAACCAAAGCACCTACAGGATACGTTAGCTCAAAAAAGCAAAAAAGAAACTCAGACTAATGAGGTGTTTGGGAGGAGAAATGCTCTTATTTAGGGTATTGACCAGTTAGGAACTGAGTAATAAGTTGTATGTGGAAGTTAAAAGCGACTGGCTGGCAGACAGTTAGGCGTCTGTACCATTGTGTTTTGTAAACTTTCTCCTATGGCTGTGGTGTGTTTTTTCCAAGCCCACTTAATTTTTTATGAGGTTTATAAAGGTCTTGAATAAACAATTGAGATTATAGAGGTTTTCCTGGAAGCTTTGGTTAATATTTTAATATGCTCTGCTTTGTCACATTATTAAATAGCTTATTGGAAAGTTTGAAAGAGAGTGTTTCTTTTTTATTTTTCCTATTTTTCTTTCTCATTTCTCTTTTAAAATTTTGATCTAGCAGTTAAATATCAAAATTCGATATAGTTTTTAGCTGATTCTCTCTCTTCTTTTTATTTTAACTTGATGCCTCTACAGATCACCCTTGGATTGGGAATTAGCATCTGGGAGGCCTCCACTTAAAATTCACTTCAAGTGAAATTCCAGTTTAGAGGGTATATCTTGAAATGAAGCCAGTGATTGTAAATATAAGTGGTAAGAGAGGACTGGAGAAGGAGAAGGGGAATTGGATAGGGTCAGAAAACAGGAACTAATAGAACTTTGGAGATTACCTCATTGTGACCTTTTGCTCATTAATATTTGAATCTGATTCTTTGGCATCTTGGTGAAATGTCAAGCATGGCAAAGACTGAATACCTTCAAAGACATTTCTGTGTTAATGAGATGACTTGATGAAGTTGACCTTTAACCTGAACAGGAATTGAGGAAAGAGAAAGGAAGAGTTTTTATTTCTCATTATGAGGACTTCTTATTCTATGGAGGTTTGTATAGTAATAATTGTTATTTGTAGAGTACTTTATATGACCACATTTCAAATTGGAAGCCACTCGGAAACATTTCCATGTTGTTGTTATTGGGATGTAATGAAGGTCACCCAGAAAATCCTACCACTTTTGTGAAGCCTTCTCTGACTATTTTGGCCTTGTAACCATTTCTTCTAAAATCATATAGCACTTAGAGTTTATTCTGCTCAATTTAGCACTTAATTGCATGTTCTCCTTGATTTGCTTCAGAACGGGAAGTACGCTTTCCACTTTTTTGCGTGACAGAATTTTTTTGGTTAAAAAGAAGAAAATCATATGACTCTATAAAAGGCGTAAATAGTAAAATATTATGAACTCATAAAATACTTACATTTTAAGCAAATATACCCAATGTCTTGTCAACTGTTTTCCATACTCAGGATCAGAGGAATAAAAATTATAATATTCATAAGACATTTACTGAGTACTTAATGTAAGTCAGATACTGTGGTGAATACTACATAGGAATTCTTTTTATTTAACCATTGTAACAGTTCTATTTTTCAGATGACAAAACTGAGGTGAAGAATAACGTCAGTGTTTTAGGGCATCATATTTAATGTTTGTTTTCATTAAACCACATATCTGTAATTTGTCTGTTTACCTTTATATATTTTTCTATTTGTTTGTTTTTGCTCTTAACACTATTTTGATCTATGGCAGTCGAACATGCAAGTCAAGGCGTTTGCTTGTGTTTTTGTTGTTTTGTAATGGGAATGTACTGATTAACTGACTGTACCTTTTATCCTTTATTGCGAATTTGAGTTCATAAGACCCATATATGAGTGCATTTTCTTTATAAAGCAAAAATGTTTGCCAAGCTGATAATGTAAATCAAGACTAGGGCATATAAGATTATTGGCAAGGGAGAAATTCTTTAAATGTCTATTATAGTTTTTTCTGGTTTTATATATTGGCAAATTAAAAAGATCCTTTTTAGTTCTACTTGTGATCTCATAGCTCATAACAGACTTATTCTCTAGTTATAAATATTTTTATATTTATATTTGTATATTTATATACAAAATATAAAACCAGAGAATTGTCAAAAAAAATGAAGGGATCAATGCTTGGGATGTAAATAACAATTGGTTTCAGAGGAACAGGATACCAAATAAGAAAGAAACACAGAGAAAGAATCCCCCAAAATGTCTTTATAAAATTCCTCTTCAGTTCCTGGCTAATTTCTAAGCTTCACATGAATAAGGCACACTCTGAAGCTGTAGAAGACATCAGCTGCTGGAATATTAATAGTTGAGCAAATATTCTGGCGTTGCACAGCAGAGAAACATTGAGGATTGGACCCATGGAAAGACCTGATGAGCACGTGGCCTTTCAGTTTAAACATCAGTAAAGCCATTTGCAGGGATTAAGAACAAGTTCCTAAGATAAAAGGTGAAATTAAAATAGACCCACTATAACTTTAACAAGCCTGACAAAAATGAAAGTGATCCACTAATAATTTAACTGCCTGCCTAAACAAAACTCAAAACTCTACTGAGGAGGATAAAATAATCTAGTGCCTCTATAGCATCTTATCTGCAATGTATGACATATGAAATAGAGTTTTTTTTTTAAGATTTTATTTATTTATTTGACAGAGAGAGACACAGCGAGAGAGGGAACACAAACAGGGGGAGTGGGAGAGGGAGAAGCAGGCTTCCCGCAGAGCAGGGAGCCCGATGCGGGGCTTGATCCCAGGATCCTGGGATCATGTCCTGAGCCAAACACTTAATGACTGAGCCACCCAGGCGCCCCTGAAATAGTTTCTTAACGTGATAGTAAGCAGAAAAACTGACCTGTAATCAAAAGTTAAAACAGTCAGTAGAAGCAGATTGTTAGATAATCCAGATATGCTAAGAGACAGAGATTTCAAAATAACTAATTAATATGTTAAAGAAAACAGAGGAAAGAATGGACAATACCAAAAAAATTATTTGGACATACGTTAAAAATCAAATATGTGTTTTAGAATAGCAAAATACAAGATTTGTAGTGAAGAGCTCATTAACGTGAGCTCTTAAAAATGGATTAAACATGTTTAACACAGACTCAATAAAGCAGAAGTCGAGATAAGTTAACTCAAAGATCTATGAATATACCAAAACTTAAACACATAGAAAAAAAGAATACAAATTTTACTTTTAATTTTTAAAAATGGAATAGGGCATAAAAGAGAGATGGAGCACAGTCGAAAGGTAGAATATTTATGTCCTTGGAGACCCAGAAGTAGAGGAGAGAATGAGAATTGTGCAGAGGATTTAATGTGTCTGCACTCAATAGCAGATCTTCAATTGTAGAAACAAAAACTGACAGAACTGAAAGGATAAGTAGATAGATTCACAATTATAGTTGGTTATTTTAACACTCCTTCAGTAACCAATAAAACAAGTAGACAAAATACCAGTAAGGCTATAGAAGACTTGAACTGTAATATCAAACAACTGGATCTAATTGACATTCCACCACCAGCAGCAGCATTTTTTTTTCCTAGTGCATATGCAGCATTCACTAAGAGCACATTTTAGACCATAAAACAAGTCTCAATAAATATAAAAGGAATAAATTCTTACTATGTTTGCCATCTGCAACAGAAATAAATTAGAAATCAATAACAGACATGTTTATGTAATATATCCCACTTAGACATAACATATCGTCTTTTTTATGTAATGCTGGATTTCATTTGCTATTGTGTTGAAATTGTGTATGTGTGTTTATGCAGGATGTTGGTTTATAGTTTTCTGTTCTTATATCATCTTTGCCTTGGATTTTGCCATCACGGTAATGTTGGCCTCATAAAATGCATTTTAGAAATGTTTTCTCCCCCATCTCTGTTTTGTGAAAGGTTTTGTCTAGACTTGGTTTCATTTCTCCCATTAATACTTGATAGATTTCACTAGTGAAATAATCAGAGTCTGGAGTTTCTTCATTGGAAAGTTATAAAATATAAATTCAGTTTCTTTAATAGAAATAAGCTTATTTAATATGTGTGTGTGAGAGAGAGAGAGAGAATCTCAGGAGATGCAGATAAAACATTTGGGAAAAATGGACACCCTTTCAAAAAAAAAAAACAACAACAACAATTTCTCAGCAGACAAATCTAGTCTTATTTAATCTAATAAAAGAGTATCTATGAAAACCTCCGTCTAGCATTTTACTTAATGGTAAAAGACTGAATGTTTGACCTCTAAGATCAGGAACAAGACAAGTATGTCTGCTCTCAGCATTCCATTTCAGCACCCTGTTGGAGCTAGTTCATGCAAAATGGCAAGTAAAAGAAGTACAAAGTGTGCTAATTGAAAGGGGGGAGAATGAAAAATTTTTTCTTTTTAAAAAAGATAACTCCATTGTCTATGTAGAAAATTCGAAGGGATTTTTTTTTTTAAAAAGGAAATAAAACTAAGTTTAGCAAGATCACAAGATATAAGGTCACTATGCAAAAAACAGGTCTATTTCTTTTTTTTAAAGATTTTATTTATTTATTTATTTATTTATTTATTTATTTATTTATTTATTTTAGAGAGGGAGAGAGAGAGCACACCAGCACAAGCACAAGCAGGGGTAGGGGGGCAAAGGGGCAGAAGGGGAGGGAGAGGGATTCTCAAGCAGAGCCCTACTCGGGGCTTCATCTCACAACCGTGAGATCATGACCTGAGCCAAAACCCCAGAGTCAGATGCTTAACCAGCTGAGCCACCCAGGCTCCCCAAAACAGGTCTATTTCTATGTACTAATAAAGAGGAATTAGAATCTGAAAATAAAAATCAATGTCATGGGGCGCCTGGATGGTTCAGTCGGTTAAGTGGCTGCCTTTGGCTCAGGTCATGATCCCAGGATCCTGGAACCAAGCCCTGCGTCAGGCTCTCTGCTCAGTGGGGAGCCTGCTTCTCTCTCTCCCTCTGCCTGCCTCTCTGCCTACTTGTGCTCTCTCTCTATCTCTCTGTCAAATAAATAAATAAAATCTTTAAAAAAATTATAAAAATCAATGTTGTTCTTAATCTTAGGAAACAAACTGAGGGTTGCTGGAGTGGTGGGGGTGGGAGGGATGGGTTGGCTGGGTGATAGACAGTGGGGAGGGCATGTGCTATGGTGAGTGCTGTGAATTGTGTAAGACTGATGAATCACAGACGTGTACCTCTGAAACAAATAATACATTATATGTTAAAAAAAAAGTAGGAAGGGAAAAATGAAGGGAGAGAAATCAGAGTGGGAGACAAACCATGAGAGACTGGACTCTGAGAAACAAACTGAGAGTTCTAGAGGGGCTGGGGGTGGGGGATGGGTTAGCCTGGTGATGGGTATTAAAGTGGGCACATACTGAATGGAGCACTGGGTGTTATACGCAAATGGATGAATCATGGAACCACTACCTCCAAAAAAAACCTTAATCAATGTCGTTTACAACATCAAAAACCAGGAAATACTCTGTAACAAAGAAAAATGTGCTAAACTTGTGCACTTAAAACTATAAAACACTACCAAAAAAAAATTAAAGAAGATCTAACTAAATAGAAAGGTATCCTGTATTTATGGATGCAACCAAAATGTCAGTTCTCCCAAAATTAATGTAAAGCAACTCTTCTCCACCAGGCCTCTGGGTGAGAATTAAACCCCAATGCCCTAAGGCATCCATGATATATAATGAAGTAACATTTCTTCTATGTATGTGGAATTGTACTACGTATACCAATCTTAAAAAGGAAATGAGTATAGATGCTAATAAGCTGATTTTAAGATTTATATGAAAATTCAAAAATTTAAAATAACTAAGACTGTTTTGAAAAGGGGGAATAATGTTAGAGAACTTGATGCTGCCTGATTTCTATATTTACTGTAAAGCTTTAGTAAGTAAGAGAGTGAAGTATTGGCATAAAGATTGACAAAA